TAAAGGTTTCTGCTGCTCTATTTTAAGTTTAGAATTTGTATGTTTAAGAATAATTAAAAGGTATTATTTACAAAAAAATATTTTCAGTTCAGAGTGGCTTGTTCTTTTTAAGCATAATTTTTACTTTTAAGCCCATGGTTTCTAAAAATCACCCATTTCTATAGGTGACCTTGGTGATGGTATATGAAATAATAATCAAAGCGTGGCTTTATGCAGGAGGAAGAATATCCTAATTGTCAGAAAAAAATATGTAGGAAGGAAGAGACAACTCCTAAAAATTGCCCTTGTAAGTCCAAACCAGGAAACTAAAGACAGACTTTTTTTAAGTAGAAAATGCAATCTTTATTTTAAGAACCTAAGTTTGGGGTAGGGATGGGGACTGGGGTCAAGGTGGGCTGGGGTCAGCTCTAGAGGGGAGAACAGACTTTTATGAGCCACTTAAAAAATTCTTCATTGCACAGAGATAGCTTTGTTGACTCCCCAAGGAAGGCTTTACCCCTCTGAGGAGTGGATGGGGGTGGGGAAGGGGAGATGGGGGCAGGAGAAGGAGGAGAAACTGGGGTTGGTATGTAAAATGAAAAAATTAATTTTTTAGATAAAAATTAATACCTAAATTTAAAAAACAAATAAAATAATATATCAAAAATTCCTCATTGTGATTTCAGGATATTTGAAGAGATGTTGGAACTGCAGTGAGCTCTTAAGTTTCATTGTATGCATGTGTGTGCATATATGTATATGTGCACATATACGTGTAAGTGTATATGTATGTGTATAAATATGTGCACATATGTGTGATACATGTGTATGTGAATGTATGTGCACACTTGTGTATGTACATAAATCTGTGTGCATGCACATGTATGTACATATATATGTGTGTGTTTGTATATGTGTGAAATATGTGCCATGGTGTGAGTGTGGAAGCCAGAGACCAGCCTTGGATGCTGGGGCTCACCCTCACTTTGTTTGAAACAGGGTCTCCCGTTAGCCTCTGCATGTCAGGTGAGCTGGCCCACAGCTTCCAGGGAGTCTCCTGTCTCTACCTCCTGTCTTACCACGGGAACACTGGAATTGCAGACATGAGATACTGTGTTTGGCTTTAGTTGGGTTCTGGGATTTCAAACTTGGGCTGTTAGGCTTGTGTGATGAATATCTTAACCTCTGAGCCATCTCCAAGACAGGGATTCACTCTTTCCACAACCGAAGTATTAACTGATACTTTTAATGTTCCCTCCTGTCCCTTACTGAATGGGTTGAAAGAGGAACTGTGTAATTATAGGGACACTTACTCTCCAGTGCTCTCCTTTAGCCTTCCAGCCTATGAATCCTGAGTGCTGTGAAGGAAATTGATTAAGCCATACTAGGAAGCGAAATGGAAGCTTCTAGGGACAGGCCAACTATGACCCTTTTCTGAAGAGAAGATGGATTAATAAGACAGAGTCTGCCAAAGACCTGACTCTCAGGGAATGTCTGAAAGACTTTCCAGAAATCTATGACTGATGTGACTCCTGTTGATACATGTTGAGGCTAGTGACAAATGTGTTTTTATAATGCTATTTGAGACCCACATATGTGTGAGAAAATATACTTTAGAAACAGTAGAATGATGAACAGAGAGTTTTGAATACGATTGTAGCAACAACAGGGGTACAGGTTCAGGCACAAACACAGGACTTCTCATCCTTGGGATTGACACTGAGGGATGACTCTTGCTCTGAGGATTAGTCTATGCTTTGTGAAACACTTAGCAATGGTCATACTGTCTTCCTACTGAATGCTAGTAGTATTCCCCTGGCAGTTATTATTAAGCCAGAAAATGTCTGCAGGCACTGAAATGTGTCTGCCAGAGATGTTTAATAAAAGAGAAATGATATTATTATGTATTGCTTGATCTCCACATCCAATTCTGTTGGCTTTTGTATGAGTACCTTTGCCCCTGGACAGAACTGTGAATCAGTCACTGTATTTCATGGTCTCGCCTTCTCATGGGTTTCCCTAGTACAGTGATGGGGACTCCTTCTTTCTGCTCCCTCTCAGAATGGACCACATCCTGGCCATTGTAAAGAGTAGACTGCCCTGCTGCATGAAAACTATGTGTGTTGAAATTCTGACACTGAAGGCGATGACTTTAAAAGACAGCACTTTTAGGAACTTATTACACCATGCACCTGAAGCCATCTTGAATAAGACTAGTGACCCCAGATGGGGTTACATGCCTGCAGTCTCCACACTTGGGGGAAACTGAGGCAGGAGGACTGTGAGTTTGAGAACAGCATAGGCTACAACCTGAGACCTTGTCAGACAAGACAGACAGACCTGAGAGCAGCTCCCTGACCCTCCTCCAGCGTGAGGAAGAAGTAAGGACATCTATGATAGAGGGAGCAGGCCCTCTACTGATGATGAATCAACTGATGACTGGATCTCAAGCCACTCGGTCTCTGGAACTATAAAAAAGAAAACCCGGGGGTTTATAACTGTCTAGTTTACAGTGCTTTGGTGAGGCAGCCTGCATTAACTGAAAACTTGTTAGCAAGCTTCCCCAACTCACATCTTTTATCTTGACGTTGACTTAGAACAGAATTCTGGCATACATTGTTCAGTAAACTTGGTAACATCATCCTTTTAGGAATCTGTAAGTATCGATAGAGGGGGTAGCCAGAAGTTCTACTAGGACCCATGGGCTCCAAATGCAAACTATGTAGGCTAAATTGCAAGCTGAAGTAGCTGCAAGTAGCAAAATGTAGAAATGTTTAAGTAGCGTGGACTGGAAAATTCAAACGGGAGGTCTCCACAATCCATGTGGACTGGGGTGGCTCCATGATCTGGGGCTGGAGCAGACCTAGCAAGAACAGATGGGAACCTCCGAAGCTAACAAACAGTACACAGAAGATAACAAACTGATCCTCGGCCAAGATTCAAACACTGTATGAGGGGCAGGCAATATCTCAGAGTTCCAATTGTTTCTAGACAGGACAAGGAGGTTTTGGCTGGAGCCAGGTGCTACAGATAAAAATCTGGGCCAGGCCCCAAAGGCACCTTCATTCTTTTACAAAACAAGGGAATGTCCTTTCTTCAGTGCTGGCCATTTTATTGCTGTCAAAAAAACATATGGCCAGTCAAAGTGGAATCATACCCCCTGAAGACACACTAAAGACTTTATCCCCAGGCCGCTGAATGTCACCTTTGTTGAGATTAATGTCCCTGAAAATATAAGTAGTTAAAATGAAGTGTCTGTGGTAGGATTGGTCCAACAATAAGCAGATAGCATGTGACAGGGAAGGCAGATTGAAGTGCTGTAGCCCCAAGCTAAGAGTGCCTGGCAGCCAGGAAGAAAGATTCTCACAGGTTTCAGCGGAAGCGTGGCCCTCCTCACGCTCTGAGTTTGGACTTCTCTTGGGGAGTTTGACTTGGTTTGGTTTAGTCTGGTCCGATCTGATCTGGTCTGGTTTGGTTTGGTCTGGCAATGCTGAGAACTGAGCAGCACAGAGCCTCATGCATGCCAGGCACGGGTTCCACTATTCCACTAACCCCAGCTCAATCTTGGACTGCTAACTCCCAGAACTGAGACATTAAGTTTCTACTGGCTTAAGTCACTCTAGCATGGTAGCCCTGTGGAGAACAAGACCATCTCCAAGAGCAAGCACAACCACTCACCTGTGCAGATGTAGAGGAAGCTGTGCCCCCAAGCCCTGTGTCCCCTCCATGCAGACTCAGGTCATCTCCTGTGGTGTCATGGATGATGACTTCCTGTGCTGATACTCAAAATTCTGCTGTACCTGTTATCTCCTCCCCTGGGATCTATCACTCCTCCTCAGCTGTTCTTAGGCCAGGATGGCTAAAAGCTAAGGACCACGTGGACTTTGCTTCCAGAGTGAAAAATGAAAGAAAGAACTAAGTTGTTCAACCTTCAAAGGACATCTGTTAGGGTGCTCCTGTCCCTTCAGATGCCTCTTTTCATCCTTGTCTCACAGAGCCAGAGGGCGTGGCTTGTGTTTTCCCTAGTGAAAGGTCAAGTTCATGGTGTAAACCACTCTCTCTCTTCTCAAATATCCTTATGCATGCAATCTTATGTATTTCTGGCTATCACGACCCTGACCAGGAAATGAGTCAGTGTGGTGTGTCCTCATTAACACTGAGTATCTGCAGGCAGAATGTCTTAGTTCATTGAATACATACATGTAAGTCTGCTCTTTTAAGAGAATTGACTTTAATACACTTAAATGGCCTTGCATCAGAACAAACTAACCCTGTCAATGCATTTGGGATGGCAATACTTCAAGACATGACAATGGATTATACCACATTCTGACTAAAACAACTGGCCACATTCAGCTCTTAGAGTGTTTTTTGTTTGTTTATTTATTTATTTGTTTTTGTTTTGTTTTCATGACAGTCTTAGTGACAGTTTACTGCCCCTGGAGGGTTCCATCTCATTAAGACCCGGATAATCATGGTTTGAATTAAGAACTATTAAATAAAGGACCAGAAGTGGCTAAATCTAAATTATACCATGAATATGGTAATTGGGGACATAAAGACAATGGAAATGGAAAAGAATGAAATAAGGCATGGGAAACATAATCCAGTTGGTTTCCTACTGGGACAGGTGCAATGGTGAATGTAAAATTCTTTTAAAAATTACAAACTTTCATTACCATTATTCCAAAATAATAAGAAAGGAGCGTGGTTCCCTCACCAACCAGTTAGCAGAGGGCATGGGGTTTTTGTGCTGATCTGGGTGACTTGAGAAGCCACGGTCTTGTCACGATGAACAGAGCCTCCGCTGCATAAGGGCAAATCCATTTTCATCTTTTAGGGTGGAGAACAAAGTAGCATCATAAGAGCCCCCACCACCCCACAGCCTTACGCAAACCTGGCTTCCCCAAGTCTCCACTGTGGTCAGTACAGCCCTGGGTGTTGGTGCTTGCAGATGCCTGATTGCCAGTGGGTGCAGGGTCTGGGAGTGGAGGCTGACTGGTGCCTGCTTGCCCTTCTAGGAGCTGAGGTGACATACATGAACATGACCGCCTACAACAAGGGCCGGCTACAGTCGTCCTTCTGGATTGTGGACAAGCAGCATGTGTACATCGGCAGCGCGGGTTTGGACTGGCGATCCCTTGGGCAGGTAATCTTCCCACCATATCTCAACTCAAACCCTGTGGCCATCAAAATGTCTGCCTCCAGAAAGCACGAGGACACCTGTGACATTTTTTTTTTTAAATTTGGGGTGCCAAAAACTAACTTCTGCCTGCTCTCTACAATTGAGACACATTCCCTAATCCAGGACATTTAGTTTAGGCTGTGAAACCTGATTACATGGGAAATCCAAGACATAGTAAGACTGATTACACTGTTTTCTTAATGACAGGTTGAACTTTAAAAAGCCGAGTACACAATAGAACAGCAGTTTGCATCAGTCTAACGTGACATGCAGGCATTTTATAAATGAGCTGAAAATCTGGCAAAAGCTCACTCTCCTCCGAGGGCAAGAGGTGTTTTCACATCTCAGCCACACCACAACCAAGATGTTTTCAGTAGCTTCAGCTTTAGAAGACAGTTACAGTCAGTAATCTAGGTTGGACTATTGTTGCTAATAGGACAAGTCTCACACTCCAGCTATAGATGGGAACACTAAAAGAAAACACCACAACTCCCTGGAGAGGAAGATACCATCAAAGAAAACATGGCTTATTTTTATATCTCTTCAGGAAATTAAAAAGTACTGTCTAAACTATTAAAAATAGTTCCGGGGAGGTTAGAGCAGGAGCATGTGTGTGTGTTGACGGGAAACGATTAAGCCAGGCGATGTTCCCCATATGGGCTTTCTTATGGAAATATGTGTTCCTCTGCTGACTGTAAATATAATAGCAAGTTAAACTCCTTGTAGATCAGAGATGGGAGGTTTTCCAAAAGGCTACCATTTACAAGCCAGTAACTGTGCTTCTGAATGTTTTTAAAGATCTTACTTTTATTTTTAATTGTGTGTGTGTAAGTGTATATGTGTGTGTTAGTCAGTGTATAGAGGTGTACAAATGAGTGCAGGTGTCCTAAGCCCAGGAACACTGAATCTCTCAGAATGAGAGTTATAGACAGTTGTGAGCTGCCAGATGTGGGTGCTGGGAGCCTAACTTGGGTCCTCTGTAAATGTGTTGTGTGGTCTTAACCACTGAGCTGTCTCTCTAGTCTCTGATTATTTCTTCATTTGTTATAACAATCTAATGGTAGATATTATCTCTATCTACCTTTATGGTAATCCCGGAAAAAAATTAAAACAAAAGGATCCTGTTCCTACCCGTTCCTCATTCAAAATAATAAAATCCACTCTAACCTGGTTAGGTTGCGTCTCACAGTCTTAGATTAACAGTTACACCAGCCAAATCTGCAACTTTCATTTTATTCTTACTGATTTGGAGCATTCCTATCAATCAACCCAAAGTCACACTTTTGGATTTTCTTTTTTTGGGGGGGGGAGACAGGGTTGTTGCATTTTTATCTTGTGGCTTCAAAACAAAACTCAAAAACTTGCTCCTCTACTCTTAGCCGTCTTTGCGGTGTCCCACCTGGCACAAACTGCACTCTAGCAATGGAGGTGGAGAGGAGACACCATCCAAAAAGCAGGAAGGGTTCAGTCTGTCACGTGAACATTTGCTTCCCCAGTAGCTTCCCTGCACCAGTGGCCACTCACCCAGAACTCCTCCTCATGTGTGTCTAGTCCTTTCTCACCACACCTGAGCACAAATACTGCCTCCTGCCTGGCCCATCTTTCCAGCATCACTCTCAGTCCGCGTGCCATGTTACTGTATGTGAGGGGCCTGGTAATAACCACCGAAATGTCTGGTTCGTGGTTGGAGGAAGATTGTTATTGTGGATAAGAGAGAAAGTATCTAAAGGCATTTGGAAGAGTCCAGAGCAGAGAGCAAAAGAAGAGGACTGAACATGGCCAGGATTATCTGCTTGAGAATGGAGCATGGTGGGAAAGAAGAGTGGAGACAGAAAGAAAGGGAAATGGTGAGAGCAGCAGGAATAGGAGTAAAAATCTTGCCTATAGAGAGCAGGATCTGAGGCTAGAAGGGCCAGGAGGCTGCTGTAGAGGTTTTCAAATGTGTAACTGGTACTTGTGAGTGGGGACTGAGGAAGCCTGGAAGCAGGCATGAACTTCAAGATATACGGATAGGTGCCACAGGTATGTCAGGAGAAAGCCATGTCTGCCTTGGCAGACAAAGGAAATTATTGATGCCTTTTGGCAGAGGGGCACCTGTTTCACAAGTTCCTGAGGAACCTTGGTTTTTATCTAACAGCCAGAAATCCTTGTAGAGCCCAGCTTGAATTGACCCTAGACTGTCGTTTCTGGACATACGCTCTTTCTAATACCTAACAGTTAGTCTACACTGTGTCATCTTCAGTGAGTGTTTCTCTCAACCATAATACATCTCCCAAGAGTCGTGTTCATAATCATCATCTTAAATCTATGCCAAGTAAAAGCAATAATAGAGATGCTCTCCCAATTTCTATGCATTGTGGGCTTTCTCTGTCTGGCTGCTAAGCACGTAAAGAACAAGAACTCACTCTGTTTCACCATTCTCTTGCTTTTAATTAATTCTGCCATCAACCTCATTCTACAGAGGAAGAGAGGCCATAGGTCAGCTTGAGGTCATGCGACCTTTCCAGGAAATGGTGAAGATAAAATGCAAGTCTATGTCCTTTAATACTAAACTTTTCACTTTTATTTGACCTTGCCCACCACTAATTTTTAAAAATATGCTAAACTTAGCAAAAAAAAATCATTCTCACATTACTTTGTTGGGGTCAGAAAAATCAACAACACAATTCTTACAAAAGTCCTGTCACTTCCATGCAACGCAAGCCCTTGGCGATGTGGTGGCCATGCAATAACCATGCCTGAAGCTCTGCAAGCTCCCTCCATCTCTGGGTTGGGTTTCAAAGACCAGGAAGCCCTGTGTGTGTGTTTACTTCTTTCTGTATCCCTCACTGCCTATTGTTCCTTCAAAGACTGCCTTAGAATTCCTGCCCACATGGAGTCCTGTGGGAAGAAAGAGAACACCTCTCCATACTTCCCACTTCATGAGCACCTCAGAACCCCAGGGAGAAAAGGAAAACTGCAGCAGGAACAAAGGGAACAAAAGGCCAGCCGGTGAGAGAAGCTGAAAGGAAAGTTCACAGCAGTCTTAGATGCTTTGGAGGCGTGAAGTGAAATGGCAGAAGCTGGGGAGGGAAATATGAAAATCAGGCTTTTAGAAAAGTTACATTTATAATCTTTGAACAAGCCTCCTTAGCTTGGAGCTGAAAGGTGGGATTCAATAGGTCCATTGACATCAAGAACCTGGCAACTCTGGAAAAGAGAGAGATTTAAATCGTGTTCTTTAAATGTAATTGCAACAAACAAGAATAGGCCTATTTAAACTCTGAACATGCGCACATTTTCATCTTGGCTACTTTTTTTGTGGAAGGAATTAAAAAGTACATGTGAGAAGATGAGTGGGCTCTTGGGCAGGCAAGTGTGGGGACAGTGAGAGAGCAGCGCCTCATTGAGGCTCCTTTTTGTTTCAAAGAGAAGGTCAGAGGCAGAGTGCTGAAGCTCCATTGAGTTTGCAGTGCTCAAGAGTCATGGAGCAGGCTGCTCTGTCTTTCCTATTTGGTACTAGCACTAAGATGATGTTTTTCTTAACATTTACAAGCTTCTGAAGGCGTGCTTTAGCTCCGAGGGAAGAGGTGCACCTGTGATTTCAGTAACTAGTTATCAAGAACAAACTGTAAATGAAAAGGCAAGAGGCAATTCATCTGCAAATATAGCAGGGAATAATTAATACTCCTTAGAAAACATTTAACAAAGGAAAGCAAATAATTAACTCCTCCTTATTGGTTTAGAAATTACCTGTGTAGCTCAGAAAAGCCGATTTTGTTTGCATGTACATTGTAAAGTGAATGAGGAGGTGAAAGTCTCTGCTTTTAATAAAATATATGTATTAGGAGGCTGTGTTTTCAATAACAAAGCAATGCAAATTTGCTGCAATTTCTATAGCGGCAATTCTGCAAGTTATATTATTCAAGGGAGCATAAATAAATCTTTTCTTCTTGTCTCCTATGGGAACCATTCTTACATAGTTACTGAATTGTCTCCTGCCTCCATTTATGTGGTGATACAGAGGAACAAGAGATCATTTCACCTTTCTCCTGCTCTTCCTAGCAAAAGAACACTTACAGCATCGTTTCTGAGTAAAACACGTTTCTGAACCTATCTTCAATGCTGTGTCCACCTTCACTTTCTCCGTCTGTTCTAAATGACGTGGTCACCTGAGGTCTCCTAATGTGGCTTGGCTTGGGATGTCTGTCCTGGTCATTTTTTAAAAATTATTTTGCTCACTGTTATTATTTTGTGTGTGATGTATCATGTGTGCCATGGTGTGTGTGTGTGTGTGTGTGTGTGTGTGTGTGTGTGTGTGTGTGTAAGTCAGTGGTCAACTTCATATGGTCAGTTCTCTTCTTCTATCTTTACATGGAATCCTGGGATGGAACTCGATTCCTCAGGCTCACACTGTCAGGCAGCAAGAACCTGTACCTGCAAGGCTGTCTTGTTGGCCCCTGATCATATTTCCCCTAGAGACAGTCCACTTTGCCTCTCATCAGTCAAACTCTAAACTATTGCTAGGTTTCCCGTTCACCAATCTCACTGTTCATGTTGGTTGTTTCCTAAGCTGTGGCTCTGCAGTGAAACACAGAGGTAGAATTCAGAATGAAACTGATTTTTTGTTCTTGTTCTCGTAGCTGTATGGCCCCAGCAAGTTGTGCCACCTCCTTGAGTTTTCATTTTACCATCTCTACAGTTGAACTAACAATAATGTCCTATGAAGTTGCTAGGGAACCAAATGAGTTACTAAAACTTACCTGCCACCAGACCTGAAACATGGGGACTGTCAAAAAACTGGTCATTGAGCAGATGCCAAGGAAACAGAGTTGTCTAGGCCAATGAGGAATGCTGGTATTGATGCTTATTTCATGTCATCAATGATGGTGCCACTCATCTCTCTCACAAACTCAATGGCCTTCTTAACAGGATAGTGTGGGAGCAATGGCACCATAAGGGCGTGGCACATTGACTGTGACCCA